ATTACAAAACAAATAGAAGCCAATTTTGCAAAAAATACAAAAACTTTGTTTACAGAGCGTAAAATATAATAATTTTTTTATAAAACAGGAAATGGCAAAAACTTTCTTTACAGAACAAGAAATAGCAAGTACTTTCTTTCCAACCCACTTTCCCACCTACTACAACACCAAATGTCCCGTTCACTTCGAAAAACGTAATTGTTGCACCTACAAGGTCAAATACGAAGAAGAAAGGAAAACCCATGACAAACCAAACAATACCAACTAGACAAAAAGGAACGTCGACAAGGAAATGTTTCACGTTTTAAAGTTGAAAAAAGCGAAATCGAGACGCTATATCCGGGCCCCATCTTGTCAAAGGGATCAGACAAGGTCAAAGGTAAGAACCTATTGGATGTCATGCTTCTTGTAGGGCAGATTTCGATGCAAAATAAAAAATATAGAAAACTGCCATTTTCAACGCACAACTAAATTGAAAAAAAAATTTAAAATCCTCATTTCAAATGAAAAATCGAGTAGATAATGCCATTTTTAACAACAAATAAGGTAAGGTATAAAATTCCATTTTTAAGAGAAAATCAAGTAAAAAATGCCATTATCAATGTAAAATCATGTATAAAGTTCAATTTGTAGTAAAAAATAAAATAAAAAGTGTCATTTCTAATAAAAAATCAAGTAGAAAATGACATTTTCAATACACAGTCCTATGATATGCCATTTTTAATCAAAATTGAAAAAAATCACCATTTTTAATAAAAGATCAAGTCAAAATGCCATTTCCAATACAAAATCATCCATAAAATTCCATGTTTATAAGTGTTATTTGTTTATTTTGTACTGTAATTTTGTCTGGTTTTGTCGCAAAAACAAGGTAATAAATCAATGTTTTTAGTACTTTGCGAGGTCTTTTGTGTTCGACAAGGTCATGCAAGTTTATTTATTTGACTTAAAGGGTTAATCTCGTCATGAAAACATCATAAATTTAGTCGATAAAGAAATGCGGACAAACTTTGTTACCTAAATTTTGAAAAATATAAATAATAGACAAATTTTTTAAAATTTAGGTAACAAAAGCTGCAGAAGCAAAGAAAATAAACATTTTTTAAATGCTATTATTCTCAAAACGATACATCATCAATCTAATACATTTTTTTAATTAAAAAATTATTTGTTACCTAAATTTCAAAATATATTGTTCAAGACCTTCAAAAAAGAAGTTAAATAGTATAAAATTGCCTATCTTATCCCAAAAATTCACTAAAAGCTCAAAATTATCTTCTGATGGAAGGCCAGTCACAATACCACAAGATTTGTTACCTAAATTTAAAAAATCGAAAAAATAAAATATTACCTTCTCCGCCTTGTTACGATCATATCAATCCATCCGTAGGACGTTGAAAGTCTCCAGAATCTTTAAAATGCCATTTTACAAGCCCAAACCAGTCGATGCGAGAGTTTCGCCTTCTCAATACATTGTTATCTCCTTGAAAATAAGCCCAAACTTCGACAAAAGCCATAACTTGTCGTTCTGAAATTAAAACAAATTTTAAAAATTATTAATTATTATAAAATGATTAAAATATACAACAAAATCATGTGTAACACGCAAATAATTCAATATTACCTGGATTTACCGCAACATTTTACAAAATTATTTATAGAGAAAGACATGACACAGAATCGAATTTTGAGTCATGTGTTTCTCTGAATAACAGTAATTAAAAGTGACGTTAAAAGGAATTTCAGAGATGATTAAATGTCAATATCTGATACAGTTTAAAAGAAAATAGTATTTAGGACCAAACTCTTGTTTTATTCAACATAAGACCCAATGAGGCGTGGTCGACGGACCGCACTGAACCAAACTTTTAGTCCAAGCTTTTCAGGTTTGGAAATCCTATGTTTCAAATTATTTTAGTCCTAGCGACATGTGAGGAGGATAAAAAGTGTCTTCTTCTCAAAAATAGTATGGGTTGGGGTAGGGGTAGGGGCAGGAGCAGGGGCATCTTCACAGATGAGGTAGGGATATTTCAGAAATACTTTCAAAATGACATTTTTCATGTGATATACGACTTGGGCCACCATTATAAACTCAACATACTATATAGTACGAATTTTAATATCTATGACAGATAGACCTGAAAGAGGCCCACTAGTCCGGCTCCTTTACAAGCCTAATTACAGTATGACTATAGAACAATACTCAAAGTGACACCTATTGTTTACTGTAACATTTAAATTTATTACTTTCATGTAAAATACGCTTTTTACCTATAAAATTGCGAAACGGCGATTTTGACTGAAATTATTGGCGCAGAACGCCGAGTGACAGCCGGTTTCCAAAACAACCGAACATGGCTATTAGAGTTTTATTTGGTTGCGGTCAACTATGAGGTAGTTTGCTAGGTTATTATGGGTTTGGAGCTTAAATTAGGCTTAAAATATAGTTTTACATTACCTTTCCCCAGTTACCATTTCTCATAGAGAGCGGCAAGCTAGGGAGGGCTAGCTTGGTTTTTGAAATCCGGGGGAGGGGGGAGTTTTTCACATCACCCTGCTCCAGTTACCACGCCCTCTCTAGAGCGGATTAGTGAGAGGGGTAATTTCCTTTATAAAATTTAGGGGTATATCTTTTTTACACTACCCTACCCCAATTCCCATGCCCAATCTAAAGCCGATAACTAGGAGGGGTAACATTTTTTGTGCAAGTCGGAAGGGTGGACCTTTTTTACTTTACCCTTCCAAATTTTGGGAAAATGGCTAGAGAGGTGTAAATTTTATTGTGAAATCCGGGGGGAGGGTGGATCTTTTTTACTTCACCGTGCCCCTATTACCATGCCTAAACTAAGGCTGACCGACGGGTAATTTCCTTTGTAAAATCCAGGGGTGGGTCTTCCTTACAATGCCCACTATAGAGCCGATGAATAGGGAGGGGTGATTTCTCCTGTGAAATCCAGGGGTAGGTTTTTTTACATTACCACGCCCAATAGCAAATAATGATATTGATTTGAGGGTGGATAACATGGACTATTAAACTTGGGGGTGGATTTTTTGCTTTTTCCTTTACTGTTGTTAGTCATGTACATACTGTATTATATTAAGTACATGTATTAATGTACCCACTGAGATATATTACACTAGGTACATGAACACATGTACCCACAGTAATATATTGCTGTATGTACATGAAGGCAGGGTAGTAGAATGACCAGTGAAGTCGATTTAAACCGGAATCCGAAAGGCCATTCAGAAGAGAATGAAAGCGCCGTTCCGGTGGTTGGCTCACTCTCGAGCCTCCACTCTCGCCTCACAAAGTGTATTCGGATTTGTTTGCAAAACTCGTTTTCAACTTGTTAATATGACTTGTAATTGTGAGGTTGGACATTCTCCAGCCATTCGAACGTGGTCCTGTGGATTTTTTCGACCCCGCTCACAGACAAAAAGTCCCCGCCCGCCCTTGGTTGGGTCCAATTCTTAATCAAAGCTAGACCTTAACGGAAGCCATAAATCTTAAAAAGACCGGGCCGACATATGTAAGCCTGAGGTAATTTCCCCTGTGAAATCCAGAAATCGGACGGTCCAAGCCTAAACCAAAGCCCCTTTACTGATCTAGATATACATATAACCGATTGAGGGCTTGAGAACGGTTAGACCAAGACCGTCTAGACCGATTTTTAAGCCCGGTCGGTTTTAATTTTCCTTCGACCCGGCCCGCCTGAATATATTCAAGCCCGGCCCGTAAGTCAGGTCTAGATTTAGTCCAGACCCATCTCAACGTTGTTTCAACCCGGCCTATTTAGCCCCTTTCAAGTCTATTTATCCCCCCTTCCACCGCGTTGCCTGACATTATTTCTTTTACTAGAGCCATACTCAAGCCGGACCAAGTAGTTTCGCTTTAGCCTCGTCCTGTACTAAAACTTTCGGTGCTACAGTAGAGAAAGCTCCCAAACCATTACTTTAAAACACCCAATTTCTCATATAGAGAAGACCCCCAAGACCTGAGAAATTTGCATGTAAGTTTGAATTTCACAAAAGGAAAATGATTTTTTTTGCTTTTCATTCTTCATTTTCTTTTCGTCGAAAACGGCTGTCTAATTGGACCACGCTTATTATTCACGGATATACTGGTGACATACGATGGTATCTTGATCAAGATGATACCCTACGCTCATATCTTCAATTTCGTGCTCTTATAAGACTTTTTCATGGCAACCCTTTTGTTCTCCACAACTCTTGGTAACATTTTCAAAATATAATAAGTTTAAGTTACCTGTTTTTGATTTTAGTTTTGTAGGTAATGTGTTGGGAATTATTGGGAGTGTTATATACTTAGTTGGGGGTGTTATATACTCAGTTGGGGGTGTTATATACTCATTTGAGGGTTTTATGTACTTAGTTGGGGGTGCTATATACTCAGTTGGGGGGTGTTATATACTCATTTGGGGGTTTTATATACTTAGTTGGGGGTGTTATATACTTAGTTTGGGGGTTATCTATAATTAGTGGGTCATTTTGCATAATTTTAAAGTACAAAAAATTGGTCTTAGAATTTTGAAACGAACAACTTTTTCTTTTTCACAATTGAAAATGATATCTGTTTCAAAAAAATGAAATGGGTGTTTTAAAGTTTGTATACCATGGGGGTTTTCTCTACTGTGGCCCCAAACTTTCTTTATAAAGAATAAAATGGCAAGAACTTTCTTTACAAACATAAAAATGGCAAAAACTTTTTTTACAAAACAAAAAATGGCAAAAACTTTCTTTACAAACATAAAAATGGCAATAACTTTCTTTACAAAACAAAAAATGGCAAGAACTTTCTTTACAAAAAATATAAGCTTCCTCCTTTCTCCACCCTTACCCCACTGCCTTTCTCTTAAAACCTTGCCCTGACTTGATCATAACAGCTTTAAATCATAACTTCAAAGTGATCTTGAACCGTTTGACAGTTCGTGTTAACCCTAGTATTCAAGACCTTTCAACCCTGCATTCCGTTTCAGATGTTATCCATTCGTATATGGATAGTGCCTTTACTTTTGTTACCACCAGTTTTGGCTCAAAGCCCGATCGATTGTAATTTTGATGATAATGAAGATGTGAAAGGACCTCTATGTGGATGGAAACCGGATGAGGAAGGATCTCAGATTTGGCATACTGGCAATGCCGTACTGGTCGATAGTGCTCACAGTATTATTAAGCCTGGGAAGAGTAGTAAGCCTACGGTTTTATTAACTAAAATATCCAACTTATGACTGATAAACTGGTCAAATTGTCATAATTGACCAAGCTGATCGTATCGACAGGTCATAATTGGTTATGTCATCATATGACCAAGTTATGAAAGTAGTAGTACTGTAATTATACTGTAACTTTGACTATAGCACCCAGGCCTCTATTGTATACTGCAAACCGTAACTCATTATAGTATACTGTACTTTTAACCCTATAATACGTATATTTAAACCCTATGATACTGTAATTTTAGAGTATATAACTTAAACTTACAATATGCCTTGAATACAGTAAACCCCAAGTTCTGATATTCAAAAAAACTTATATTTTAAGGTATACTGTATTTAAAAGATTTAGAGCTTGTAGTATACTGTATTCAAAATATCCACATTTTCATGTTATACTGTAATAAAAAACTTCAATTTTTATAATATACAGTAACCGAAAAACCTCAAATTTCAAAGTATACTGTATTCAAAAGCCCCTAACTTTAGTATCATACTGTATTTTTCTAGACGACCGTTTCGCTTTCGTTCAAGGTCAATTCGGCTCATCCGAAGGTCAGTTAGTGTCGCCGATCCTGCGAACCGCGCCCGGTATGACAAACCAATTACGTTTCAGCTATTGGAAGTCGGCTTTCGAGCCCATATTAGACGTAAGTTCGTATTTTAGAATTCAGATATTGAGTTTTAACAAAAAATGGCAAGAACTTTCTTTACAGAGCAAAAAATGGCAAGAACCTTCTTTACAAAACCAAAAATGGCAAAAACTTTCTTTGCAAAGCTAAAAACGGCAATAACTTTCTTTTCAAACCCAAAAATAGCAAGAACTTTCTTTACACACTTTAAAACTTGTAAATCTTTCCAGATCTGCCTAAAATACATAACCGAGGACCGGCTAGACTGTATTGATGCCATAATTGGTGGTGGTGAAGAGAAATGGGTAAAGCGAGCTTTAGACCTTCCCTCAAGCTCCGAACCTTTTAGTGTTGTGTTTAGAGCCCGAGGCATTCACTCGAAAGAGGACCTGATTGGACTTGATGACATTAAGTTAGCTTTGCCTGAGGATGAAGAACAGATACCTGATACCAACGAGTTGGCTGGGTTTGAGCCAAAGTACGGTATTAAGAAGGATTTGAGTGAGTACGGTAACCCGAGTGATGAGAGGTTGAAGTACAGTAACCCGAATGATAGCGGTTCCAAGCACAGTAACCCTAATAGTGGTGGCTTCAAATACAGTAACCCAACTGATGACAACTCCAAATACAGTAATTTAAAAGATGAAACTTCAAAATACAGAAACCCAACCGACAGTAGGCCACAGTACGACATGAAAACCAAGGATTCTGGAGCCAAATCACCCTTCAAAGATTCAGAATCCAAGTCAGCCTTCAGAAGTTTCGATGAGAATTCATCGTACAAACATTCAGAAGCCTCAAACTCCAAAAAGAATCGTGAACTGAAGCCAGTCTTAACCTCCAAAGCCACTTATGAAAGGATCGGTCTATCAGAAACCGAGAAATCAGCTGGAATCAACTCTTTCGAGATGAGACGATCCCAGCCAGTGATAAGGCCGAACAAGAATCCCTTCGAGATGGACGAGGAAAGACTACCGTTACAGGAAGAGTAAGTACCATCGGTTTATCATACCTTTTATGGCTTTCATTCTTCCTTATCGTATCTATAGCTTCACTTAACCTTCGGAAATTTGTACTGTAATTCTACTATATTGTATGTTACTCTACCATACTCTATTTTACCCTACCCTATAAAACCCAACCTTAAATTACTTTATCTTACCTACCTTTTTTATACTTCGCATGCCATGCATTGCCCTACACAACCCTACCCTGTTCTGCGCTGCCTTGCCCTAACCTGTTCTGCCCTACCGCACGTTACCCTGTAAAATCTGCCCGAATTACTTTTCTATCCTGCCCTACCGTACCTTGTCTTACTTTAATTTACCTTACCTTACATTACCTTACCGTACCTTACCGTACCCTACTGTGCCTTACCTTACCGTACTTTACATTACCTTCCCTTACCGTACCCTACTGTACCTTACCTTATTGTACCCTACCTTAAGTTATATTGCCGTACCTTACCTTACCGTACTTTACATTACCTTACCTTCTACTCGCCCTAACCCTTTCCTATCCTAATCTACAACACCCCAACCTTTTCTACCCTTCCCTACTCTAGCCTTACCGTGTTGTGACCGTTTCTTTTGCCCTATTATTCATAAGTTTTCTAATCTGACTCTAATCCTAAATAGACATCTAAACGTATTCCTGCCCTATTACTTCTCCACCGTATTTTACATTTATAAGCTTACTATTGCGCCCTAACGTAACTCCTGAAATTTTAAAACTTTTAAAAATGTAAAATACGTGAAATGATATAATTTTAAAACAGAAAAATTTTTTTCAGAGAAAAACCGATCCAACTGTCGGAAAGATCATACCCGGACAAGCACGACAACTCCAACTCAGTCTTGTCACAATTTCCCGACTTTCCGTCGTTAGACACAATTCGTAGAGATGAAGGTAAGCAAAGATTGAAGTAAACATGACTTTTCTAAACATAAAACTGATCAGTTTAGCTGTCTTGAAACTTCTTACCGTATTTTACTCAGACTAGCAAGCCAAGATATTACATTAGGTACCGACATAAAGAACCCGCCATATTTTGCCTGTAATTTCCTGTGAAGAGCGGCGGGTTCTTTATGTCGGCGCTTAATAGTACAAAACTTTTGAATGTATTACAGTACTATAAAAGCCAACAGTACTAACCTTTGGAATGAATGTATTACAGTACTCTACAACCATGTTCAAATACTTTTTCAGACCACCACCTGCCCAAAGACAAACTGGCTGAAGATACGTTTACATGCAAAGCCGTCAAGTGTACCTTTTTGGAAACGACCTGTTTTTGGTATGTTGTATACGTGACCTTATTGTTCAAATAATGCTGTGCCCCTTCTCAACAACTTTTCAAAGTTAGGGTGCAGAATTATTTGAACAACTTAATATTAGGTGCCGACATAAAGAACCCGCCATACTTTTTCTGTAAAAAATGGCGGGTTCTTTATGTCGGCACCTAATAGTAGAAAATTTGTTGTAAAACAAGTTCAAGGTATTGTTTTAGGTCCCTGAACAACAAATGGAACAAAGGAGATGGAAGTGTGGCGTTAGAAGCCAAAGGTAATGAAAAGATGGTCAGTGGTATCTTCCGAGCACCACCCGGTCAATACTATATTGACTTTGATGTTTGGATGAGGTAAAACTACTATTTTTAGTACTGTTACCTCAGTTTTTGGTACCTTATTTAATTTTTAGTACTATTACTAGTACGGTATTAAGAAGTAATTCTTTTTCCTTATTTGGTACCTTTTTCCCATTTTGATACTTTTTTTTCATTTTTGGTACTCTTTTTACCTTTTTTGGTACTCTTTTTCCTATTTTGGTACCTTTTTTATGTTTGGTACTCTTTTCCCATTTTGGTATATTTTTTCATTTTTGGTACCCTTTTGCCTTACTTGGATAATATTCACCTTCCAGTGACAACACCGAGCTCAAAATAGTTCAAATAACTGAAGACGTAGGCGAGGAAGTGCAATTCCAACGTCAAGGCGGTGCCAGTGATCGGTACCACACCTACCGTGCCCCGATTCACGGTGCTTTAACGCCGATTCGGATCGAATTTCAAGCCAGCTTGCCTGCCAAAGCTTTTCTCACCCTCTCCAACACCCGACTGGTCGATCCCAGCGGAGAGGAAATGGCGTGTGAAACACTTGGCTTCGCCAATATCACCAAGAGTTTGAAACCAGAGAGTAATGGGATTAATGGGAATGTTGTGAAAAGTCGACCGGTCGATAATCCGCTTTGGCCAACTTTTCCGCCACCGCTTTTGGGTGAGATTTTGATGTTATACTTGGTATTTTAGAAGAAATGACAAAGCAAGATAGCTTTAGAACAAAGAAAACTATCAGAAAGATCTTCTACATTCTAAACCTTAACATTTCCAGGCAACCCCTTCGTCTTCCCACCTCTCGGAGTCCCATTACAGCCACTTCCAGCCCCTCCGGCTATATTAACACCGTTTAACCCGTTCGCTCAAACAAACTTCAATTTCGGTAACACATTGGATAATACAGTATCTTCGCCTTCTATTAGTACCCCAAACAGCATCACACCTATCACACCGATGAAAGATTCGACCACAAGGCTAACCGCCGTTCAACAGGTAGGATAACATAACATTTTTCGTTAATTTTAAAAAAATAGGTCACTCTTAATGTTACCAATGAATAGATTAGATGTAAAAGAGACTAATGAAGCTATTGGAACGTAAAAAGAATAAATACAGCTTTAGTATTCATTAAAACTATCAATAATATCCACCAAACCCCCTTCAGATCGATGAAAACAAGTCCTACCCCGCCTTTACTTTCCCAACTCTCCCACCCATGCCCGTATTCGGGGTCCCCAACGTACCTACAATGTTTCCAAGTGTCCTGAAGCCCATGTCCACCAAACCGCAGCCTCATATCACGTTTGTCGACGCCACAACGGTCGAAAAGTTCCACGATTTTCCGTCGAACGACGCGGATTTGGTCACAAAGCCCTCGAAGATCATCGGTCGACCAAAGAGTGTGCAAGCACGTTGGGGAACGGCACAAATGGACTCGGTTTCCCATCAACATCATCAGATGCTGGAAAATTTGGAGAAGGACGGCGTGTTGGATAAGATTCTTCAGGTAAGTTGATGTTGTTTTTGCTTGAAACCTGAAAATAATTAAAATTAATAAATATTAACATTGAAATAGTTTATAAAAACAATTTAAGTTAATATGTTGTTTACAATGATATACGACATCAATTTATTCAGATTTTTCTAAAAAAATCGTTTGGAATTAGGCAGGATTCATCGTATAACAAAACCCTCGCAATTCTTCAGAAAAAACCTTATTTTCCTCAATTTTTTTCAAAACAAACGACCTTTCAGGTCAATAACAACGTCAAATCTCGCCTCAATATCAACAATAAACCCTTGTAACCCTTTACAAGCATTTATTTTTCAGAATCCAATCGCCAGACCAATAATAGAAGGCCAAATCAAACGTCTGGCCGCTCAATATGGCTTGGACTCGAACGCTTTTACCGATCCTCGACAAATGGAGCAGATCAAACGACTAGTCGGCCCAAAGATGTTCAGCAAATTACCAGGAATTATCAACGGAATGCCCAAAAACGTCGTCTCAACGGATCGTGAAGAGATGGCATTGGGCGCGGAGAGTGGGGAGGTCAGTAAGGTTCAACCTATTCGACCGGTCAATGTGGACAAGGACGTATGTTTTTCTTATAATTTTTGTCGTTTTTAGGTAGGCTAGCTTGTGAAGAAGTCGTGTTAAAAAATTGGGAGGATTTTCAGTTGATTTTCTATGATTTTTAACCAATTTGCGCTATATTACACTTGGCGAGGCGTTCGTGTCGCAAATCGAACAAAAAGTTAACTTTTCGAAATGAATATGGCATAAATAACAATAATAAAGCTAGAGTAGTCTTTTGCCTATCTTTATTTCAATTTTCAACAAATTTCATACCCATTTCACTTCAAAACATTCCCAATATTATCATAGACACCGAACCTCAAATTTAATGAACTCTACCCAATTTTACAGGATTTTGAACGTGTTATGAAGCAATTAGATCAAACAAGTCAAACAGAAGCTTCGCCATTGGTTCAGAAGTTGTTCAGGACACTAGGAGGACAATCTTCATCAGATGCCTTTGATAATGCCATTGCTGATGGACAACGGATGTTAGTGTAGAAGGTCAGGTCCTTGATCACTGTGTTCCTGATCTTTTTCGACATTATATTAATATTACAATGTTATACTTCATATTATATCGGTCTTTCAGTGTTTTTCATGTAAAAGTTAGTTCTAATCATACCTATATTATCTGTGAATACTTGAATAAATAACATTATTTTAGTTTTTGAGTAATTTAGCTGTTTTAAACGTTCAAAACTTATGTTTTATTATAGTAAAACATGTATTTTATCCTCCTAACTAAAAATATGATCGATTTAAGGTAAAATAATTTACTGTCGGCAAGGATTACGAATAATATTATGTCATAGACATCTAGTGTAATATAATTTTTTTTCTGATGATTTTATCAGCTTAGAGATTACAATTGTTTTGAGAATGGATAAGTATGATATTTTTGTATGAAACATAATATACTAATCGAAAATATAGTGGCATTCTGAATTTCTATGGCCTTTTGAATCCTCATAGACCAAAAAAGCTATGATAACAATACTTTCAAGGATTTTCAGACCTTCCTATCAAAATATAGTATAATAATGGGTATCACTGACAATTTTAAATCATGTATCATGTTGTGACGTGCCATTAGCCGGGTTTTCGGCGAACTCAGCCGCCACTTCCTCCCACTTTTTCAAATTGAATCTAAAACAAGGTCTAACCTAATGTTCATGAAAAACTTACTCTGATCGTTCCTTCAACTCATGGGCTTCTGGAATGACCATAGAGATGGTGTTGTAACATGGTACACATATGGAGCTGATGAACTGGACTTGTGATTGTGGCAGCTCCATTGCACGGCTTCGGTCCATCATTGCCTGAGGGGAACGGCCGTTCAGGCGTTCTGCATCGCCCTGAATTTCGATAGTTGTTATAATATATAAATATATGATGGTCAGGAATATTGTATAGCTTTTAAAAGTACATTTAAACACAATTTTTGAAAAATTTAGCTTTAAAATGACTTTCCCTTACCTGTTCATAAAACTCTTCAAAGATAACTCTGACTGTATCCGTTTGAACTTTCCATGGCTTGGCTGTAGCTACCAGGTCACAAGATGTCATCAGTAAGGCTTGGGCTAGTAATCTAAAACCATTTTTATGTACTTCAGCAAAAAAAAACTTTTTTAAATTTGAAGTTTGAAAAACACCCAAACTGCTCCTAGTGTAATATAAAAAAAGCTTTATTTTGCTACATTATTAACTTTTTTGAGTTGTCAGATATGAAGGTATAAGTAGCTTAGACTATCAGCTTTCATTTAAGCCATAAAACACTAATTTTCGATCATTACTTTTTGAAATACGACATTTTTTGTTAACCATGACCTAGTATAAGATAGTGATAAACAAAATTCTTCATATCTCAAAAAATTCTTTATCAAACTTCATGATTTATAGTGCAAATAAAAGCTAATAGTCTAGACTACATCAGCAATATAAAATTACAGCCACGTGTATACCTAAAATTTCAAGTTTAACACCTGTCTCTAGTGTAATATGGAAGAAATGAATAGATATAGCCCCCAAAACATCGTATATTTAATCTGTCATGATGACACATTAAAAGATACAATAAAGATACATTAGGACAATGATTATGACACTCCAAAACCGACCTATGATCCGGATTGTCCCACGAGAACTCCTTCTTCTCCACCATTTTCTCCAATTTGCCTCGATTTGGGAAGAAAAGGGCCAGATCCGTGGCCAAAATGTGTTGTTTTATCAGTCCCAACACCTTCTTGTAGTCGGCTGGCTGCAGGGAACGTAGCACATTGTGGCCATCATGTTGTAGTATGGCGACGGTTTGATTGAAGTGGTGGTGTTCCATGACTGAAGTGGTGTATATGGATGCTAGTGGAGTCGACATGGTCTTCATGTACTCGTTGTTCTTGCCACGATGATCCAAATCGTGGCATATTGCGGCGACAAAGAGGGATAGTTTCTGAAAGTAGTGATTTTAGAGGATTAAAGGGCAATTTTTGGATTATTTCCAAAAAATGTGTCATCTTTCCAAAAAATATGTCATGATAACAATGTTTAAAAGCCAGTGAACAAATAATAAAATACGTTTTTTACTGTCATAGCACTTCAAATGACATTTTTTAAAATAATTTCCAAAAAATGTGTCATCTTTCTAAAAAATATGTCATAATGACAACTTATAAAGCAAAAAACAGTGACAATGACTAAATTCCCAAAAAACATGTCATTTAATAATTGTTACCTCATGTGGAGTGAAAATCTTGGTTTTTCTCAAGAACACGAACATGGCATGAGCCACAGTCCAACCATGAGTCCAATTGTGGTACGGCACGGGACGATAGTTCTTTCGTACGGTGAGGAAGAAGCGAATCAGGTCGTCTGTGTCGATTTGACTGAAAATTAATTTAAAATTTTAATTTACAAAAAATTTTTTAAAAATTTTTTTGAAATTTCAAAAAAAAAGTTAAAAAAGTCTAAAAAATTTTAAAAAATTTTAAAAAATAGCCTTACATAATATCAGAAAACAGTGTTTTAAACATGTAGACCGCGTACAACGGCTTCTCAATGTCCTTCAGCTGGTAGCCATTGAAGGCGAAGCTGTCGAGCTCGGGAACTGGCTCTTGGATCCGCAGGTTCTTGACCTTGTTTACTTCGTCTGTGTTGCAAACGCTGTGATAAGCCAACACCTCCAACGCGACTCGATACTTTTGTTCGGAACGGCGGATTTTGTCGTACAGTTTGGCATGATGCAGTGCTAGACCACAGAAGACGGCGAACGTCTCGAAGTTGTCCTCATCTTCGCTGGTAAAGGTGCCATTCACTTTGTTCACCATTTGGACTACTCCAATTACACTGAAAGTCGAAAGTTTTGTAAATTGTCACAAATGATTAGGTTGAACCAAAAACATAGACATGAGAAACGGGCTGGGCCTGAATGTTAGGCCCGGCCCGATCGAAATTTTGCTCAGGGCCGGCCCGGGCCGTTCCTCATGTCTACAAAAACAGCGGGACATTTTTCCTTTCAACTTCATTGAGTCCCGCTACTTCTGGTTCAACCTGATAATATTATTATATATTTACTTCGTCTAAAAAATCTGTCATCATGACAATGCTTTAAAATACATTCTTGGTTTTAAAAACGTATAGTACAATCCTTATCGATCAGAGAACTTCAAATGAACGATTTTTTAAATTTCCAAAAAATGTGTCATACTGACAGTATTTTAAACTAAAAAGTTTCGTAAAATTCAAAATGGCATGATTTGCGTAATATAATTTACTTCAACATTCAAAATACGTGCAAACAAAAATTTTTTAACGATCCGTTATCTTCCAAAAAATGGGTCATGATGACAAATTTTAAAAGTAAAATACGACAGTTAAAATTACACCTACGAATTTAAAAATAAAAGAGAAAATCGAATAAAATTTTCTTCAAACTGCGTTTCAGTATCCATCTTCTAAAACCTTCAAAAATCTTTAAAAGTCAAAAGAAGGTGTCATACTCCCAAAAAAATGTGTCAGGATGACAGTACTTTAAAACGACCGTAAAAGTTATTTTAAGCTCTTTTTCAACATCTCTAAACCTTAAATTCAAAAATTTTTTAAAAATCCAAAAAAAAGTCATCTCTCCAAAAAATACGTCATGATGACAATATTATAACATAACTATAAAAATTGAGAAAAAACTACCCTACTGTAACCTACCTTAATCTCACTTTCAATAAAAAATATTGAAAAAGTCATTTCTCTTTACATTAATTTGAAAAAAGCACTTACTGTCCACGCATGAAGATGGGCATGCACAATATAGTGTTGGTCTTATAGCCAGTGCGTTGGTCGACCTCTGGGTTGAATCTGTGGTCTCTGTAGGCATCCATAATGTTCAGACCCTGACCTTTCATGGCCACATAACCAGCGATTCCTTTGTCAATTGGGAACCTGTAAATTGGTTGATTTAGAAATGGCACTTAAAAATCAAAAAATTTTAAAAAACCTGTTCTAACAAAGAAATTTCCCGACCTGCCTCGCTCAGAATGAGCTCAAAATTTTTATACAAACTCTTTGTACCATCAATAGTACCCATAAAAAATTTTAGTTCGCGCTTTTAAATTAAAAAATTTAAATATTTGAGTTTCCCGCCGATTTGGCAAAGTTTGGCATTGTGTTTCAAGCACATTTTTTCGGTTCTTTGTACCATCAATAGTACCCATATAAAATTTTAGCTCGCACTTTTAATTTTAAAAACTTTAAGTATTTAAATTTCCCGCCAATTTGGCATTGTGTTCCAAAAACTTTGTTCGACTTTCCTGACACGCTAGACTTACAAATTTAAAAATATAGGTTCATTTAAAGGTCTCCTACTAGTATATGAAAGAAAAATCGTTGAAAGTAAAAAAATGGCAAAGTTTTAAGCTTGAAACACAATGCCAATTTGGCGGTAAATTCAAAACACAATTTTTTGATCTTGATTTTCTCGCGATTTCCTGGAAAGCGCGATTTAGTACTGTGTTGAACATCTTATATTTACACGATCTTTCTATAGAAAAAGTTTGAAGTCAATCAGAGCGGGGCAGGTCGGGTACTTCCCTTGTAAGCCTAAAAGTTAAAGTAACCAAAAAGTTTCATTACATATACCACCCCAACTTACTTGATCTCCACCCTCTGACTTTGATCATCCGATTGCTCCGGCTTATCTACTCCAATGTCAAACATTTGGGCGTAAAGTTCACGTTTCTTCGAATCGACCAGGAACAGCGAAGCACGGTCGGCTTCGACCAGTCGTTGGGCAAAGTGCATAATCTTTAAAATGACAGAATCCATGGTATTCATGTCTTGAAAGATCGACTTTACCACGTCCAACAGGAAATCGACCAAGGTTTTATATTGTTGTACCTTGGCCGGTCGCTTGTTGTAGGCTTCGACTTTGTTGGCTTGCTGAAATTTCAAAATATAAACTTCAAAATGAAAATTTTCTTGGCCTACCATACCCTAGTCATCCTATCAATGACAATAAAACCCACCGCAGCATAATAAATCATAGAGCTGCCCCAGTTGCTTAGGATGTTCATGTACTGAGCGTCACGGTCGTTGATGTCCGAGTACAAATGAAGTTCAGCTAAAACCATAAAAGAATTAGTTCAAAGTGTTTGAAATCCATTAAAAATAGACAAAACTTTCCTTACAAAAAAAATTAAAAATTTTATTCATCGTATAACTTGTCACATGCAGATTGCACAACACAAACTTTGCTTGTTTTTTATAAATAATAGAAGAAACTTTCTTTACATAACTTAAAATGCTTAAAACTTTCTTTAAAAATGCTAAAACGGCAACAAGTTCATAAACAAAGAGTAAGAATGTTTTTTATCGTATAACTTGTCGCCAGCAGGCTGCACAAGGCTAACTTTGCTTGTTTTTTATGAATACTAGAAGAAACTTCCTTTACAAAACATAAAATAATTAAAACTTTCTTTACAGAGGATAAAACGGAAACAATTTTATAAACAGAGTATAAAAATTTTATCCATCGTATAACTTGTCACATGCAGGCTACACAACATAAAGTTTGCTTGTTTTTTATAAATAGTAGAAGAAACTTTCTTTACAAAACATAAAAGAACAAGGTTTTTCATTTTAAAACAAAAAAAGCAAAAACTTCCTTTACAAAATAAAAAAAAATCATTTTCCTACCTAAACACCTCTCGTTGCAATCGATCAACTTCTGAACGCATCTCGCGCCTCGTCTGTTCGCTTTTAATGGCTTCTCAACCACTTGTCCATTCACTAACTCCAGTTTTCTCCACATTGAGCCAACTTCGCCGTTCTCGTCGTTCTCACTGGTTACCGTACTCTCCGATACTGTAGACCGTCTTTTTTTGACCGACTTCACGATTGGGATGAGGACGTCGAACTTGGAACAGCGACAAATTTGGGCACATGTACTGCCTAATTCGTAGACTAGCCGCTTCGGATTGTTGGCCCAGGCTCCCAACGAGTGTAAGGCTTGGGCGCGACCTGCGGGGGTCTAAAAATTAATAAAATTAGATGAATTGTAAAGAAAGTTTTTGCCTTTATGCGATTTCTAAAGAAGGGTTTTGCTGATTTTTGCTTTGTAAAGAAAGTTTCTTCCATTTTCCTTACAAATCACAAAAATTTGTTTTGCGCAGCCTGCAGGTGACAAGTTATATGATGAATAGATTTTCTTCGCAGTGTAAAGCATACTCTTACTAGCTAGAACTTTTTAAAGAAATTTTCTTCCTTTTCTGTTTACAAACCAGTAACATTAAGATTATGCAGCCTGCAGGTGACAAGTTATACGATGATTAACATTTTTTATTTCTGTAAATAAAATTCTTGCCATTTTATGTTTTGTAATGAAAGTTCTTGCCATTTTTCATTTGGTAAAGAAAGTTCTTGCATTTTACTTTTTGTAAATAAAGTTCTTGCATTTTTTGCTTTGTAAAGAAAGTTCTTGTCATTTTAACATCTGTAAAAAATTTTTTTATCAAAAAACCCACCACATACGAAGTGACCAGATGTCTTCGTTCAGTTTTGTATTTTAACTGTTGATTTCGTTCGACCGCCCATCGTTGGAAGGTCTCATTCGAGATGTAGTTGCTGCTTGTAATGTAGAACTCCAGTTTGTCCGGATTGTTCTGGAAGTAGTTTATGGCTCGGTCCAGGTCACTGTCGGCTTGCATGATCACTAGAATGGCATTATAAATAGGTAAAAACTTTTTGAAATTTTCAAATTGAAATTCAAAAATAGTTTTCAAAAAGTGAAAATTTTTTAAAAAGTTACAAAATTTGAAAAACAATTTTCATTTTCTTTCTTTAAAACCATATTTCCTAAAATTCGAAAGTAAAAAATTCAAAATACACAAAAACCCGCCATTTTTGTTTTTTAGCTTCTAAAATGAAAAATATTAATCTTAAAATCATTAATTTCATTTTGAAAACAACAGAAAACAAAATTTTTCATTTTCAAAAAAAAATTTTTTTTACCCTCCCTTATCCCCCCCCAAATTTTTTTTTCTCTCTAACCCTACCATGCCAAACCATACCAAGCCTTGCTCAAACATATGCTTTACAGGGTACTATTGTTAGTTGTTGTTTTAATTATATTTGTTGTTAAAATAAATATTTGATTAAAAAACCGTGTAACACAAAACAAGGCGCACCCTGTAGCAAACAAAAGCTAGCTGTTTTTACTATTAGGTGCCGACATAAAGAACCCGCCATACTTTTCCTGTAATTTCCTGTAAAAAAGGCGGGTTCTTTATGTCGGCACCTAATATATTATGTGTTAATAATATAAAGCATAGTCCAGAGCCCTTTCCCCATAGGGGTGAGAAACCGGCCGATCCGGGTTTACTTTTGACGTCTGGTCCAGGTTCACTTTTGTGGCCGGCCCAATCCCAATGACCTATCTTTTAGCACTTGTCTGTTTCAATTTTTTTATATAAAGCCAGCCCGGCCAAGAAATTATAAGCCTTGTCCAATTCTCATCCCTATCTCCACCCCCCCTTTTTTTTTCAAATTTCTACCCTAGCCGACTCCCTTACATTTATTTAAACTAAACCCAACCCCATTTTTATGTCAAAACCCTTAAAATTCCTGAAATTTCAGGCATTTTTCGTAAATAGTAACCCCAAATTACTTGAAATTACTTGGAAAAGATTAAATTTGTTAGCATTTGTACTCTAAAACCCAAGTATGGATTAAAGATTCGGGTATATTTTTGAATTTTATTACATGAATGTCTCATATATTATCCTCCACTAACTTTCAGATACATACAAAGTTTCAAAGTGGTGTTGAAAGTTACTTTTTTAAGGTTTTTATGTATAAGTAATACGAAGATATAAAATAGTCTTGTCGTTTTGTACCCTGCAAAGCTGTGTTAAAAAACGACAAGACTTTTTTATAGCCCTAAAACAACAAAAAATAAGTAAAAAATTTTTTTAAATCTATTTTAAGTCTTCATATCACTTTCAAAACCTTACAAAACAATAATAAAACACCAATTTTAATCAAGTTTCAGGCGAAAAACCTTCAACTTTTGGTCGATTAAAAAATAGTCAAAACCCAGACCTAAGACAATATATATGTGTGTACAAACGAGAAACCATACACAAACAAGCAAAAACTATTACAAAAGACAAGGAAAAAGAATGGCAAATGTATTTTCTGTCATTTCATATTGTTTTCGATATTACATTCGTCATAGAGGATACAATATTAGGTGCAACTTTACATAGACAAGAGTGTAAATAGAAAAAAATCTGCCTTAAATTACATTATCATAGCTTGCATTAGCTCTACTTTACTCTCTTTTACCTTGCCATACCCTACCGTACCCTACCTTACTTTACCTTAGCCTACCCTACCTACCGTCCCCTGCCCTACCCTACCCTATCCTACCTTACCCCACTCTACCCCATATCCGGCTTTATTTTACCCTCCCTTGCCTTTACACTACCCCTATAAACCCACATATAACCATATGTTACCCACGCCCTGTCTAAAAAAATACCATGCCCTAAATTACATTACGATGTCCTACAGTAGATCTACATTGCTGTAACATACAATAACGTACCATACCTTACCCTGCATGTACCCAAATTTCCTCTACCCTACCTTACTCCACCGTATCGTTACCTACCCCACGCTACCGTATCATTACCTATTCTTCCCTACCCTACTCTACTATACCGTAGCCCGTAGGTACCTGTATGTGAAAAAATGAAAAAAAATTAATTGGTTTGGTCCACAGGTACCTGTGGGAAAAAAATTTTTTTTGGGTTTCCACCCCCCAGAGAAAAACCGTAGCGACGTCCCTGCCGTAGCCTATCCTAACTCCTAACATACCCTTCTCTATATAACCTCATTTTATCTTATCCTCCCTTTTCTTTATACTACCTCTATAAGACGTAACCATATGTTATCCACGCCCTGTCTTACTAATTTTTCTTTAAATTTCAGAAACATTTTTAAAATTCCCTAGAAAAACGTATGTCAAGTCATCTGAACGATTTAAGAACAGAATTTGACACAGTAAAGAATAGGTGAAGTAAAGTTGTAAACCCTTATAAATCTCCGCCCCAATATTATTGTACTCAAAGTGATGCGATATTGTTTTAGAACAGTTTGAAATTGTATTGAAGATGAGTATAAAATGTGCCTTGTGACTTTTTGAATCAAATACATTTTAAATTTAGATTGAATTCAAAAATACTGAAAAAGCAACTGACCATAAACCATGTCACTCAGTAGCTCTATTTTACTCTACCTTGTTCTGCTCTACCATACTCTAACTAAAACCTTAGCCTACTCTCACTATGGCAAACCCTACCTTAAGAGGCTTTCTGAGACTTAAAAAATGCTGTTAAGAATTACCAAAAAATCAAAAGTGCACCAAATGTTCTGAAAATTTGTGCACCTACGTTTTTGAGCATGCCGAACAATAATGTACATAATTGAAAATTTTCTTCCATCGCTACCATAACCTACCGTAATCCGATCGGTCGGTTATAAATGTGCAAATATCTATTTAAAAAGTTAACACGGATAGGGTGGTAGGTTACGGTAACAATAGAAGAAAATTTTCCATTAAAACATTGTTCAGCATAGGCAAAAGCATAACTATGCACAGTTTCAAAGCGTTCGATGCATTTTTAAATTTGTTTTTAATTTTAATTTTTTGCACAGTATGCTACCGTAATTTTTGAACCGACCAAAAACCCCCAAGGCCCATCGCACTAGAAACGGGGGTATAGCCTATAATAATCCAAATTTCATGGAGATTCTAAATATGCAAAAATTACCCATAAACGTGTTAACTTTTTAAATATTTGCACATTTAAAAGCGACAGGTCGGATTACGGTATCAATAGAAGAAAATCTTAAATTACAATATTGTTCAGCATGAAATTTTCAGAACATTTGGTGCACTATTGATTTTTTGGTAAATTTTAACAGTATGTTAACAAAAAATGGCATAAAAGTGCCGAAACGGCATTTTGTCCAAAACCACTTTACCACATATACTGCCCGCAGAAATTATACCTTAAAACAGTTTATCTCATGGATTTAGCAAATAAAAATAGAGGGTAAATTTCTAGAGCCCAGCTTGCTTCACGGTCTCAGAAATCGTATTTTAACATAAAATTAACTTCAAAATCAATTTTTAGGCCTGCCTAAATTGTAAACTGGTTCCGGCCAGTAAAAATCGTTGTCATTTTCGAAACTAGCCCAACAAACCTAAAAAGTACGCCCAGAATAAGATCGAGGCCAAGCTTGTCAAAAGCTTTTGAAATTGCCACTAAAGAAGTATCCTTTATGATTGAGGGTCTTATTCACCTTCCCTACCATAATATAGCCTATTATTTAGCCTACCTTACCCTATACTGCCTTAACTTATCCTGTCCAAACTTAAATTACCCGGCTCTATAGTATCTTATCTTAACCCACTCTATCCTACCCTACATTACTCTACTCTTCCCCATCCTATCTTACTTTAGCCAACCATACCTTACTCTTCCTTGCCCTACCATTACTTACTTTATCATACCCCTATGGTCTACCCTGTTCTATGACACTCTATAAAACACCATACCCTACTTAAAAATTTCCGTCGTTTTTTCTCATTCCCTTATCTATCTCCAGAATTCACCAAATCCGCCTTTTTTGATTTTACCACACCCCACCTTTCCATGCCCTTGCCCAAAACTAATACTCTTCTCCGCACGCCTAACTCTATTTAAAGCCATCGCCAGGCAAAGCACATTACAATAAACGAACACAAAATATGCTCAAATTCGAAAAAAGTTCGTTACAAGCCCTCGATATTATTGTAGCTTCTCCACACTTACCCGGCAATTTGACGCGTTTTTGTAGCCGTGCCATTCGTTGTTGGCAGTTTTGCGAAGACGAAATTGTAGTTCGAAGGGCTTTGTTTTTGTCACATGGATTAGAAAGATATTGCGTTTGACGACTAGGTATACGTGGGGATTCATCACACTTATTAATACCACTGTTTAGCTCACTTTGAATGCAAAATTAATTTAAATGAAAGGGAGAGCGCAGCCACGGTATTTAAGGATATTACACAAAGAATGGCAGGAATTTCGTTGAGCGATATAAAAATAGTATACAGATTGTTAACAGACATCACAATCATGAAAAAATTTCGCAAAATTATAGGTTTGATTTCGATGATAATATATGTACAAACCGCCTGTTTTGATAAAAAACGTAAATGATTATGACCGAAAATTTAAAACTATGTAGAGAAGAGACATTTTTAACTATATTATTATATTACTTAACAAAAAAAGAAATAGGTCTTTTACACAATTTTACATCATGATCAAGTGTAATATAGCGCAATTGAGCCAAAAACCATTGAAAAACAACTTAAAATCCCTCAGAATCTTTCACTCAGTATCTTCGCACGTTATTCTACCTAAACACGACAAAATTCAAAAGAAAAACATACCAATTCCTCCACATTGACCGGTCGAATCAGCTTAACCATGTTGATCACCGCACTTTACTTTCTTTATGTCAGTTCTTCGTGCTGATCGCTTAAAACAATATGTTCTTGCATTCCATTGTTCATTCCTGTCAATTTGCTAACATTGCAAATGAAACCTAGTCGTTTGACTGCTTCGTTCGTCGAGGATCGGTAAAAACATTGGAGTCCCGGCCATAACGGGCGTGCAGACGTCATCGTTTGCCGTTTGTTACGGATCTAGTAATTTTATTCTAAAAAAAGAGAGTTATAAAGATATAGAAGAGTTTATTTTTAGACTATATACGATAAGGTTATTGACCTCAAATGTCGTTAATTTTGAAAAAATGAAAGGAAATTAATAATTTTTATTTATTTTTTCGATCGGAGCCAAAGGAACAATCTTATACGATGAAAGCTGTCGTTTTCAAGCCCTATCCTTAATCAATAAAGCTGAGTATAAGCCTAGTCTTAAGCTTAAATCCATTCTATGTTCCATTTATTTTAACTTCACCGGCTTTGCAATATTTTAAGTCCTCCAACCTAACATAATATAAATATCCAATCCGATAATAAATAAAACTTTATTAGCTGCAACATATACAAACATGATATAGGAAACGACTGATAACATACTGATATCACAATATATTATGCTCTAAAACAATAAATTTAAAAAAAAGTTTTAAAATTTTAAAAATTTATCACAAAAACCTGATTTGTTGTGTTTTGATAGTTATTAATGAATATATATCTGTCAGAGGTGGCACGATTTTGGATATTTCATGATTCACAATATAGACGAGCTATTTTAAATTAAAAATTAATAAAATACTATATAGTACTAATACTAAAATAGATAAACACTCGTTATGCATATTATTTGGCAGACATCTTGATGGTTCTTTGGCGACTCTCCTTCTCCAGAAGCTTTCGTTCTCTTTCGATTCTTTGCTTGATCGTCTTGATCTTCTTCTTGATTATGGCACGATCCGAGTGATTATTGATGCCCATGGTCTGGAAATGACAACATTAGATATAAAATTAAAAAGTATATACAATTCTTAGTTCAAATTTGAATATTTTAACGCCTAAATAGAGTCTGAAACTGAAGTAGCAAAAACTTAGCTTACAAAATGAAAAATGGCAAGAACTTTCTTTACAAAACAAAAAATGGCAAGAACTTTCTTTACAAAACAAAAAATGGCAAGGACTTTCTTTACAAAAAAAAATGTCGCCTGCACAAATCAAATTTTAGTTGTTTTATACAGAAAATAGAAGAAACTTTCTTTACAAAACGTAAAATAACCAAAACTTTCTTTAGAGACATAAAATAATCAAAACTTTCTTTAAAAGGCACAAAATTATTTGAAATCGCCAATAAATCCCTTCCAAACCTACTTTTAGTTTTCCGCCGTCCAAATCCAAGAACCTGGGGCCATTGACCTGGTTCACCGAGAACTCAGGTATGTATTTGTCCAGTCCCATGTGAATCAGGAGCTGACAAACCTCGTCAATGTTCCACTGAAGCACCTGTAGGCCTTGGGCTTCGACGTTCTCTCTCCAGAACTCGTTGTCACCGTGCACGTAGCGTTTGCGCAGTGAGAACAGCATTCGCCGCTGATGGTGCAGGAACTTTTGTGGAACGGCTGGTGAGGTTGGTTCCGAGATGCGTGGGATGGGGGATTCGCAGGTTGAGGATGATGACATGAAGCGCTCTTCGCCAAACTCGTCAATGTAATAGGCTCCGCCCATGAAACGCTCGTACACGTGTGGTGCTGCGCTTAGAGGTATTGATCTTGGAGTCTGAAACACAAAATTTAAAAGATTCGGAGCAGATATAGATGTAAGGTAAGTGGTAGCCAAGTAAGACCCTTAAATTTTTTTTTAAATTTCAAGAAAATCCAAAAATTTCTAGAAATGGCCAAAATTTCCAAATCGATTTCATGATGACAAATTTTTTGAAACGATGACATAATTTTTTAATTTTTGAAAAATTTCTTTAAACAGTTTAAACTTCAATGAACCACTTCTTCACTTTTCGTAAACGTTTTAAATTTTCAAAAAATATTGTCATTATGACATATTTTTTTGGAAGGTTAACGCATTTTTTAAAAAATTTGCAAAAAATTTTAATTGCCGTTTTTTAGAAATAAAAAAGTCCTAGCTTACGTTATTTTACCACAAAATGCATTTTTGAACTATGTCATAATGACACATTTTTTAAAAATATGACACATTTTTTGGAAAAAAATTGAATTTACGTTCTATGGCAATAAACCATCATTAGTTAATCTTGTTTTGACCCCTATTCAATTTTTAAATCTTGTCATCATGACTGATTTTTTGTAAAGATAAGACATTTTTTGAAAATATAACACATTTTTTTGAAAAAAAAATTAAATTGACGTTCGATGTTGATAACATACTATTATCTAACGTTATCTTTGCTCAAACTGAGTTTTTTAAAGTTGTCATCATGACTCATTTTTTGGAAAGTTGACACATTTTTTAAAAAAACCTGGCTTAACTTATATTATACTTCAAAAACAGCATTATTATGGATTTCTGGCGTAAATAATATCATATAACGCTATGTTTCGAAGTAAAACTTCACATTTCAAAGTAAAAACCACAACCTACCAATCCAGCATGTCGGGCGCCTTTGTTGACCGGTCGTTCGGCTTCTGGATGCCTTTGTTTTGGCATGGGTTTCTTTTCCTTTTCCATTGGTACCCTTTCATTCTTTTCCATTGGTACTCTTTCATTCCTTTCATTCTGTGGCGGTAGTGGGGGTGGTTTGTTGGGTACCTCCTCCCTGAACCGATCCACATTCTGTTTGGTGAGGGTGTCTTCGTTGGTTTGGACGGCGTTGTGTTTCTTCTCTCTGGCCATGACTGAGGCGAGTTGTTCACGGAGGCGACTTAGTTCGTTTTCGACCTGGTCGGTTCGGTTTTTGTCGTTTTGGTCGAGTTTGCGCTCCAACTCTTCGATGCGTTCCTTCATTTGGCCCAGCATGGTACCGTATTGTTCGTCCTTCTCGCGCAGCTTGGATTCTTGATCTCGTTCGACTTCGATCAGCTTCCGCTCGCGTTCTTGGTAGTTGCGGAGCATTTGGCGGGCTTGGTCGTACTTGGTTTCCAGTTGGCTGTAGTGGCTTCTGGTGCTTTGGAGCACTTCTTCCATTTGGTCCGCCTTCTTTTGGGAGTCCTGAAGTTTTAATTTTTAAAAAATTTTTTTTAAAATTGAAGAATGTACAGTAAAGTAAAATAAAATACAGTAGGTTAGGGTTATATATACTTTTAGGCTAACATAATATAAGTAGGCTAGCCAAAAAAATCAAAAAAAAATACCTGCAACTCCGCTTCCAACGCCTGGATCTTCTTCTGAATGATCTCGCTGGTCGAATTACTCACAATTTTGGGTGGTAATGCCGGAGGCAATGGAGGTGGCAGTGAGTTCTCTCTGAATCTTCGGTTCATGGCTTCATCGTCGTCTTCCGAATCCGGAGCTGCTCTACTGTAGGGTGATTCGCTGGGCACTTTCGAGTAGATATTGTCATTGTCTCTCTCTTTAATGGCTAGTTTGTTTTTATCAGCCGCTAGCGAGTTCTTGATTAGTTCAGCCACTTCTGAATCCTCGAGGTTCGGATCTCTGGCTATGACAAACTTGACTCTTTGCTGGGTTTGCCTGAGGGTTTGGGCCGCGAATAGTTGGCTCACACCCACCAATGAGATACCATCTACACTCACTATTTGGTCGGCTACCTAAGATATTGTTTTTGAATGGAAAATTGTTGGGAATGTCAAAAACTTTCTTTACAGGACAAAAATATGGCAAGAACTTTCTTTACAAAGCAAAAAACGCAAGAACTTTCTTTCCAGAATTAGAAAGGCAAGAACTTTCTTTACAAAGCAAAAAATGGCAAGAACTTTCTTTACAAAACAAAAAATTGCAAAAACTTTCTTTCCATGCCTTTAAATTTCGAAAAACCCACCTGAATTCTGCTATTTCGATCCAGCACACTGCCGGGGGTGATGCTTTTGACGAAGATGCCCAACTTCTCCAGGCCCAGGTCCGCACCCACGCCCATTCCGATGATACTGAAGCCCAGGCCCTCGGGGCCTTTCTCCACCTCCACCTCGAACATCTCCATCTTGTCTAGCCGCCGTTCCAGCTCGTATTCGGCCGAAGAGGCGTATGGGTCGACCTCGTCGTTCCGGCGGTCGTACTCGTCCACACCGTGCGTCTTGAAGACTTTGATTGGTGCCGTGCTGAAGGAGACCTTCTTATTAGCTTGTAGCTCACGATCTGGGCTCAAGCCCCTCAGGGTTTCGATGATATTCGAGTCGTTTCGAGGTAATGTCACATTTGGCTCGGTTCTGGGTAAGAAGAGGGAGGGTTTTTCGATTATGGTACTGCTGGTACTGTTGAGGGTGGTGGTACTGTTGATGGCGCTGGTACTGTGGATGGTGTTGGTAATGTTGGTGGGTAGAAATGAGGGCTGATATGTGTTGGAGGGGCGCTGAAATCATTTTTTATTTGAAAAAAAGTAAAAACCCTACCCTGCCCGAGCCAGAGAGATGCTCTACCCTACATTGCTCTCCTCTACCCTCCTATACTCTAACCCTGCCCTACTCAACTCTACCTGTCCTATCCTCCCCTCCTCTATCCTACCCTACCCTGCCCTATCCTACCCTACCGTACCCTACCCTACCCTACCCTACCCTACCCTACCCTACTCTCCTATACCGTACCCTACCCTGCCCTACTCTACTCTGTTCTGTCCTAAGCTCCCCTCCTCTATCCCACCCTACCCCAACAAAAGTTATGCCCTGCCCAACACTTTCCTAACCCCCTAAATCAATTTCTGTCCCCTACCTGCTCGCGATGTTGTTCAAGAGCTCCAAACTGGAATGAAATCTTGGAAGTCGGCGAAGTGTTGGGACTTTGCTGACTTGGCCTTGGTTCCGATGGTACACTGTCTCCGGATTCCGATGAATTCCTCTCTTCGTTCTCCTTCTCACTGCTTTCGACTCCGAAGCGGCGTTTGTAAAAGGAAGGATCCCTCCAGTATGGTTCATAACAATTTTGGGGTTTCGGTACTGATGGTGCTGTGTAACTGGTACTCATTTCAGTCGCTTCTTTGGTTCGACGACTGTCTAGTGTGGTCGATTTGTACCTGAAACGGGTAATTTTGAAATGGTTTTTTATTTTAAAACCAGATTTAATAAAAATTATGAGTGAGTTGGGTTCCACCACGAAAACCCTGATTTATCAATAAATCGCAAAAAACGAGAAAGTTAAGATCATTTATCAATTTAAACATACTACTATCCACAATATTGTTTAATTATTTTATTTTTTCTTAATTTGGGTCCCACCACGAAAACCCTGATTTTTCAATAAATCGCAAAAAACGACAAAGTTAAGATCTTTTATCAATTTAAGCATACTACTATCCACAATACTGTTCGACTTTTTAAAATTTTTCTTAAATTTTAGGTCCCACCATGAAAACCCTACTTTTTTTGAATAAATCGCCAAAAAACATAAAAATTAAAAAAAATTAATAAAAAATATTACGAATATCGTTTCGTAAAAAACAAAAAAGGTTATTTTTTGTCTTTTTCTTTAACTTGAAATATTATTTTAGGTCCCACCACGAAAACTGATATTTCAATAAATCGCTTAAAACACGTTTTTTGTAAGGCTCGAGACGCCTGGTCGACATAAAAAAAATCGATGTCTCCAAATTTCTTGAAATTTTCAAATTTTGCCCTTTGTAGCAAAGCAAACAAAGTTGCTTAAACAAGTTTTTCCAAAATTACCGTATTCGAGGTTACGGTAATGTCGGTCGATTTTTTGTATCTCAAAAACCAGACATCGTACAAACCCGCGGTTTTTACTATATTAATCAGCATTAAAAAATACGTATTTTATATTATGACAACATTTTTGCTGCTCTAGTGCATCAGTGCGAAAAAATTGAAAAAGTGTGCACAGCTACAGTAATCCGGCTGTAACTCAAAAACTATATTTTATTTACCCTAATTTTTATTTCATATCATCAATCTACTATTTATTGCGGTTAAAATGAGCCTATGCACATGTGCTAACCCCGAATTTTTTGGGGTCAAATGTGCATTCAAAGTTCGCACACCTACTTTTTTAGTATAAATACCAATATATATTAAATTTTTATTAAATTTGTGTCATAACAATACAAATAACGTTTCAACTTACACGATTGATAACACTGAACTTATAAAAATATTCAAAAATATTAAAAGTTTGCATATTTGTAAAAATATTATTTTTATTATTTAGGCTTAATAAGTAAGGGTAATATTTTTATGAATTACTCGTTTTTTTATAATTATTTACCTAATTTTTTATTGTATATTCTTAATCTACTCTTTATTGCGGTTAATATGAGCCTATGAACATGTGCTAACCCCGAATTTTTTGAGGTCAAACACACATAAAAGAAAATTTTCAAAAAAAGTTGAACGTGATCCCCTGTGGATTTTCTGAAATTTTTTTTGACGCCCGCCTTCAGACCAAAAATCCCTGCCCGGGACTGGCTACCGTCACTCAATTACGAAAATTTCTCCATCTCCTAATGGTTCAGCAAACAAAGTATCGTAGATCTACGACGACCACGTCAGCATTACTGGCTGTGGGCTGTGGTGGCGGTGGTGGCTGTCGGTGAAGCACGACATCGTAGTCATAATTTAAATTTGATGTAGCCCAAGATGTCTTGTACGTCTCGACGGACGACTTTAACTTGATTACGTCAACCACATCAAAAGTAAATGGGGAGCGTAAAGGTATGTTGTAATCGAAATAGTAAACATAGGTATTAAAAAAGGTTTACTTGTGTGTTAAAAGAGTGTTATTTTATTAAGTTGAAGCAAATGTAGCGGGTCATTTTTCACAGTATAATTTTGGTTCATTAGTTTTTGTTAACTTTTAGTTTAAAAGTGTCACCGCTACTTTTATTTCAACCTAATATGTTGTAAAAAATAAAAAAATTTAATATGTATTGATATTTATACTAAAAAAGTAGGTGTGCGAACTTTGAATGCACATTTGACCCCAAAAAATTCGGGGTTAGCACATGTGCATAGGCTCATATTAACCGCAATAAAGAGTAGATTAAGAATATACAATAAAAAATTAGGTAAATAATTATAAAAAAACGAGTAATTCATAAAAATATTATCCTTACTTATTAAGCCTAAATAATAAAAATAATATTTTTACAAATATGCAAACTTTTAACATTTTTGAATATTTTATAAGTTCAGTGTTATCAATCGTGTAAGTTGAAACGTTATTTGTATTGTTATGACACAAATTTAATAAAAATTTAATATATATTGGTATTTATACTAAAAAAGTAGGTGTGCGAACTTTGAATGCACATTTGACCCCAAAAAATTCGGGGTTAGCACATGTGCATAGGTTCATTTTAACCGCAATAAATAGTTGATTGATGATATGAAATAAAAATTAGGGTAAATAAAATATAGTTTTTGAGTTACAGCCGGATTACTGTAGCTGTGCACACTTTTTCAATTTTTTCGCACTGATGCACTAGAGCAGCAAAAATGTTGTCATAATATAAAATACGTATTTTTTAATGCTGATTAATATAGTAAAAACCGCGGGTTTGTACGATGTCTGGTTTTTGAGATACAAAAAATCGACCGACATTACCGTAACCTCGAATACGGTAATTTTGGAAAAACTTGTTTAAGCAACTTTGTTTGCTTTGCTACAAAGGGCAAAATTTGAAAATTTCAAGAAATTTGGAGACATCGATTTTTTTTTGTCGACTCAGGGATAAAAAGCGCTCGATTATTAAGAAAAACGTGTTTTAAAACGCCAAAATCAAAAACCTTGATAAAAAATATCAAGTATATCATTTTGTAAAACACCAAAAAAATTATTTTTTGTCTTTTCAATTCGATTAAAATATTATTTAGGTCCCACCACGAAAACCTTGATTTTTAAAAAACCGCCAATGAACATCAAAATTAGTAGATTTAATAAGAAGTATTAAGAATATCGTACTGTAGAACACTACAAAAAATATTTTTTGCCTTTTCATTTAACTTGAAAAATTATTTTAGATCCCACCACGAAAACCTTGATTTTTCAAAAAAACCTCTAAAAACATAAAAAATCTCAACTTTTCTTATTTTTTCATTAAAAAACTCACAAATTATTCGGTTTCTTAGGCGAGCTTGGCACAGTCCCAATCCTAGGCAGGGAATTCGAAAAAGGTGCCTCGGGCTGTTGAAACTTGCTAGCCACATGCTTTACCAGACCTGAGGTTGTGCCAAAGTCATTTCGAGATGAGGTCGTGATCTTTTCCAAATCGTCCGCCAACTGAGTAAAGTTCTGTTGGACTTGGCTCAATGGTGAGGATGGCTCCTTCTTGATTGGTGTAGTTGGTGCACTTTGGTTCATGGCGGTCGGCGAGGAAGCCGCCGATGAAGTGGTGGTGTTGGCTGAAGAGGTGGGGGAGGTCGATGGCTCTTCGGCTGAAATTTTTGTGAATTGGTTTGAATTGGTGGAGGTATGGCATTGAAATTAAAAAACTTTTTGCCCTTAAAGAGAGGAGGGGGCATAAATTTTCTCGCTTTCCTGTCTGTAAAGAAAGTTCTTGCTATTTCATGTTTTGTAAAGAAAGTTTTCGCAATTTTTCGCTTTGTAAAGAAAGTTTTTGACATTTATTAGCATGTAAATACGGTTTTTTCCTTTTTCAATTATAAATCAAGCAAAATTAGTCGTGTGCAGCCTGCAAGTGACAAGTTATACGAAGAATATAATTTTAACTGTTTAAACGAAATTTAGGTCATAAAATAGCATAATCGTTGCTTACAAGAGAAAAAGAAGGCAATAACTTTCTTTCCAAAACATAAAATAGCAATAACTTTCTTTCCAAACCATAAGCTAGCAAAAACTTTCTTTCCAATACAAAAAATTGCAAGAACTTTCTTTCCAAACCATAAAACCGCAAAACCTTTCTTTACAAATCCAAAAGTAGCAAGAATTTTCCTTCCAAATCATAAAACCTCAAAACTTCAAACCTTTTGCCAAACCAACCCCTATTAAAGTTTGGTAAGACAGAAGTGAAATCAAGAAGTAATCTATTTCGCGCCCTGAGGCATCTTCCTGTCCACACTTCCAAAAAAAAACCGAAACCCTCGAGGGAGAAGGGGGCCGCTTCTCTGAGTGGGCGGATATTCAAAAAACTTTTTTAATAAACTTTTTTGGGCTGGAGCATTGTGGGTATTAAACATTGATAGACCTTGCCAAATTATGAATTCTGTTTCAAATTGGAAAAATTGAAATTTAAAATTCAATTTTTACTGAGGGTAAGGGTAAAAGTAGGGGTGAGAGTAAAGGTAGTCATAAGGGTAAAAGTAAGAGCAGAAGTAGGGGCATGGGTAAGAGTTACGGTAGTCATAAAAGTCAGAGTAAGAGTAGGGAAAGGAGTAAAGACAGGGATAAGAGTGAAAGTAAGGGTAGGAGTAAGAGTAAGAGTAGTGATAAGGATAAGAATAGGAACAAGAGTAAGGGCATGGGTAAAAGTGAGAGTAAGGGTGGGGGTAGAAGGGCAATAAGAATACAAGAAAAGGTAAGGGTAAAAGTAGAGGTGAGAGTAAAGGTAGTGATAAGGGAAAGAGTAAGGGCAGAAGTAGCGGTAAGAGCAAGAGTAAAGGTAATCATAAGGGTCAGAGTAAGATGAAGGGTAAGAGTAAGGGCAAAGATAAGAGTGAAAATAAGGATAGTGGTAAGAGTAGGACCACGGAAAGGAGTATGGGCAGTAACAGGGGTGAGATTAAGGGTGGGGGAAAAAGGGGGAGACGTAAGGGTATAAGAAAAGGTAAGGATATAGGTACAATTACGGGTATAATTAAGAGTAGGTATAGATATAACAAATTATAGAAATTTAAAGTTCCGTTTTTACAGTAAGGGTAAAAGTAGGGGTAAGAGTAATAGTAGGGGTAAAAGTAAAGGTAATGATAAGAGTAAGAGTGAGAGGTAGGGAGGGAGGGAGGGGGAGGTAGGGGTAGGGAGGGATGGGGAGGTAGTGGCAAGAGTAATGGTAAAGGTAGAGGTAGGGGTACAAATCGGATTAGGAATAAGTTTAGGTTTAGGGGTAAGGGTAGAAGTAGAAGCAAGAGTAGAAGTATGAGTAGAAGCAGGGTAAGGGCAAAGTTAGATATAGGGGTAAGATTAGAGGTAGGGTTACGACTACAAGCAAGAGTACAGGTAGGGGTAAGAAAGAAATAGTGATAGCCATATATGAGGTTGAACCAAAAGTAACGGGTCACTTTTCATTTATTTTTTCACTGAAAAGTGTCCCGCTATTTTTGGTTCAACCTATACCCCTATCCTTTCCTATTAGATCTTTCTCTAAACCTACCTCAACACTAGCCATACTCTAACTTTTTCAAACTACCCCTACCTTATAAACCCTTCCTACCCTACACTACCTTCTATCTTTGATAAACCATGTTGTTTTATCCCAGCCAATAAAACTTTTAAGAGTACGGCGGGGTAAAAGATAAAAACATCTTCCTCTAGAAGATACTTCAACATATTTTGTCCAAAAAAAAAAACCCAAAACAACCCCCCTCACAAATTCAACCCAAAGATCTGAGAACGCAAACAAATGACAGAGTAAATAATAACTTGGCTCATCCTTGTATATATATCAATAACAAAGTGGTATTTTTGCGGCGCTATACATCACTCTCTTTATTATGTTGTCATAGATCTCCACAGTAAAGACAAAATTTAAAAAAACAAAAAATACCCCCTACCCCGTCTTTATCCTCCTTCCCTAGCCAAAGCGTATTCTGTAATGCCCTGTCCTACCCCATCCTGCACTACCCGCAACAATTTACCCCCGTCCTACCCTACCACTACTCTGCCATACTTTATCACGCCCTCCTCTTTTCCTAGCCAAACTCCCATACTTACCCCTACTCTGCCATACCTAGACATGAGAAACGGGCCGGGCCGACCTTGAGCAAAATTTAGATCGGGCCGGGCCTAAAAAAATGGGTCGGGCCCGGACCGCATTCTTTACGTGGAAACGGGCCGGACCGCTGAGCAAAATTTCGACCGTGCCGGGCCCGTTTCCACGTAAAAAAATGCGGCCCGGCCCGGGCTTGCTATTGGCCCGGACCCAAATTGAGCGAAATTTCGACCGGGCCGGGCCCATTTTTCAGGCTCGGCCCGTTTCTCAGGCCTATTTATCTCTGCCATACCCCAACCTACCCTAGGCGTGAAGAACCATCCGAGCCTGAGTGTCAGGACCGGTTTGATCCAAATTTTGCTCAGGACCGGCCCGAATATTTTTCGGGCCGGGCCTAAGTGCAAGCGGGCCGGGCTTTTTGGGCCTTAATATTCAAACCTGTCCCAACCTGAATTCAAACCAAAGCCAGCCTAGCCGGTTCCTTATGTCTACCCTACCCTCTATCACTCCCAACCCCCACACCCCTACCCTCCATGTCTACTATTAAATTCCTACCCCTCCTATTAAAACCCTCCAAATCCACCCCCAAAACCGCATGGGCTGGTCATTGTAACCGAGGCATGACTCAAAAAAGCATTTGTGGTTTGACAACATGAATGTCCCAAACCGAGAGAAAGGGAAAGATTGTTTTAAGCGGCCACATTTCCTTCGAAATCCTTTGAAACATGTCAATGCCTTTCCCAAACGCCAAAAAGGCTATAAATTTGAGTACACTAACCATAAAACCCCCATTACTATCTGCTATTGTTTCGGTTTTGGCATGTTTTAGGGGGTGTAAAGTTGAAGGCATGTTTGTAGACTTAAGTTGACTTTAGTTGTTTGTTTTGAACTAAATTTTGTTAATTAAATTTTACTTTAGGCTTAAAATAAAGGCCGGTAGGCTTAAAAAATGCGTTTAGGCTTACAGTTAAGAATATAAAATGAGGTTTTTAAGCTTAAGATTTAGATTAAAATTTAAAAAATTAAAATTTTTAAGCCTAAATTAATTTTTTTAAAATACCAATTTAACAAGGAAAGTACCCTACCTGCCCCGCTCAGAATCAGCTCAAATTTTTATATGAATTCCTTGCACCACTAATAGTAACCATAAAAAATGTTAGCTCGCGCTTTTGAATTTTAAATATCTGAGTTCACGCCAAATTGGCAACTTTTGGCATTCTGTTTCAAGCACTTTTTTGTAAACATAAACAATTTTAGATCGCAAATTTGGGTTAAAAAATTTAAATATTGAATTTCCAGCCCATTTGGCACAATTTGGCATTGTGTTTCAAGCATTTTTTCGACTTTCCAGACAACCTGTTCTTACAAACTTAAAACATCAAAGAAAAATGATCAAAAGTCAAAAAATGGCAAAGTTATAAGCTTAAAACACAACGCCAATTTGGCGGGAAATTCAAAACGTAATTTTTTAATCTCGATTTTCTAGAGATTTCCTAGAAAGCGCGATTTGGTACTTTGCTGAAGATCTTATATTGGTATGGTCTTTTTATATAAAAAGCTTGAAGTCAGTCAGAGTGGGTTAGTTCGAGCACATTCCTCGTAAGATTCAAAAAAAAGTATTGTCGTTTATCGCAGTGCAAAAGCCCATTCAAAAGCGACAAGACTTTTGCGTCATCGTTATAAAAAGCCAGTTGAACCCGTCCAGCAACGGTTCAGGCCAATTTAACCCGCCCAGCAACAATTTAAGCCAATTTAACACACCCAACAACGGTTCGGACCAATTTAACACACCCAGCGTCAATTTAGGCCAATTTAGCCGGCCCGAAACACAGTTCAAGACAAGCACAGTTTAAACCGGCCACAGTCTAAGCCAATTCCCACAAAAAAGAATAAACGGCCGAACGTACCCCGCAATTTTGTTTTCCGAACATCTTCGGCCGTTTCTCCTTCCCGTGCCTGCGGCCCCAAACCTTTTACATTTAAAATGACCGATAATTTGTGAAAAAATATTCTGCGGTCGTTAACCTGACAAAAACAAAACAGTCGGTTCAGCTGGTTACGTGCGAACAACAGTCAGCCAGCAGGCTGTCTGTAACGTCATTTTGAATGCGAAAGGACGGAAGGGTACTGTATTTTGGGGCAAAATTAAAGTTTGTAAAGAAAGTTCTTGTCATTTTTTGGTTTGTAAAGAAAGTTTTTGCCATTTTTTGGTTTGTAAAGAAAGTTCTTGTCATTTTTTGGTTTGTAAAGAAAGTTTTTGCCATTTTTTGGTTTGTAAAGAAAGTTCTTGTCATTTTGTAGTTTGTAAAGAAAGTTTTTGCTACTTTTTGTATTCTAAAGAAAGGTATTGCCATTTTTTGCTTTGTAAAGAAAGTTCTTGCCATTTCATAGTCAGTAAATAAAGTTTCTTCTTTTTATAAAAAAACAAGGTTATTTGTGTTTGTGCAGCCTGCAGGTGGCAAGTTATACGATGAATAACGATTTTTTGATTTGTAAAGAAAGTTCTTGTCATTTTTTGAATTGTAAAGGAAGTTCTTGCTATTTTTTACCCCAAACCCCCAAAACTTGTATTTTGCAGCCTGCAGGTGACAAGTTATACGATGGATAAATTTTTTTTGATTATTAAGAAAAGTTCTTGCCGTTTTTCGTTTTGTAAAGAAAGTTCTTACCATTTAAAAAACCCCCTTTTACAGTTTTCAGAATCCCCCGATTCAGAAGCAAAAAAAAACGAAATTCCGCTAAAATTGGCCGCTTCTTTGAGCCATATTTCAGTGGGGTTTTATGCCTTCCTACGATCATAAAGACAATAATAAATAAAAGATATATGTTATCGAATATTAAAGGAGATGACACGATTTATAGAGATTAGGTTTTCGAATTAACATCACGGAAACTTTGTTTACAAAGCTTAAAAATTTTTTAAAAAAATTTATAGAACATAAAAATGACATTCATCGTATAACTTGTCACCTGCAGGCTGCACGACAGCAATTTTGAAGATTTGAGATAAAAATAGCAAGAACTTTCTTTCCAAAACACAAAATTGCAATAATTTTCTTTACAAAACAAAAAATTTCAAAAACTTTCTTTCCAAAATTTAAAATTTCAATAAAATCCATTTCCCATCCCTTAAACTATAAAAAACCTCAAAAACCAAACCCTACCTCTTCTAAACACCTCCGTAGGCTTGGGTGGTACTGGTGGTGGGCATTTTGGTACACTCGAAAACCCAAAATTGTCTGCGAGATCAGCGTGCACACTGCTACTCATCAGATGCCGAACCGGGCGGGGTGAATAGAAGGAAGGCAGTTCGCGCTGGTGTTTCTCCAACTGTTCGAAAATGGCTTTGGTATGGCTGAACCGGGCACGCGCATCCTCGCCGCACAGCTCCGGCGAATCCAACATCTGGTACCGCTGGTACTGCTGGTCAAGTGTTTGGGTAGGGGCGGTGGCGTCTCCGACACGCAGCTCATCAACGGCAGGGTCTGCGGCTAGCTGGACTGAATTTTGCTGAAAAATTGAGATTGTGATGATAAAAATTTTTTTTAGTTTTTAAAATTTTCAAAATAAAATAAAAAATTTTTGAAAATTGAAAAATTCAAAAAAAATATAAAATCGCGCCAGAAATAATAAATTAGGTACAAAATAATAAGAAGGTTTATAAAAAATCACAATTCCGGTCAAAAAGTTTGTAGAAAACAATGATTTAACAATTAAAATTGAACTTTTAAAAACCCATTGTATAACACAGCTCGCGCAGCCTGTAGATAAAAAAATCAATTTAAAATCTAGTTAAAACGCTAATCAATGGCAGTAACTTTGTTTACAAAGCTCAATAATGACAAAAACATGCCTATGTCACTCTACCATAACCAACCTTACCTTACTCTACCATACCTTAGATTACCATACCCTACCCTACTCAAGCCTAACATATCCTACCCTGCCTCACTCAAAAATCCATGCAAACAAAAAAAACGGCAACAACTTTATTTACAAACTATAAATTCTAAAAAAAATAAAAAATAGCAAAAGAACCAGCTGCAACGTTGTTCAAATAATTCAGCGCCCCTTCTCATAGCAAATTGTAAAAATTGAAAAATACAGAATTATTTGAACAACCTAATATTACATTTACTGAACATTCAGTATATTTTTACGCTAGCCATGCCCCACACAGCCAAACAAAAAAAACTGCAAAGACTTTATTTACAGCCAAAAAATAATCGAAAAACCCAAAATTAAAAAAAATTTTAACTCACGTTCTACCCCTCACCCCTATTGCCCTTCCCTCTCCCTTCCCTACACCCTCCCGCGCTGAGCTAAGCCGGGCCTGAAAAAACTTTTAGTCGGGCCGGACCTGGAAATCCGAAAGAAACGCGGCCTGTTACCACGTAAAAAAGTACGGGCTGGTAATGAAGCCAGGCCTGAAAAGTGGGTCCGGCCCGTTCCTCCCCCCTCCCTTCCCCCTAGACATGACAAACTAGCCGGGCCCAATTTTCAGGCCCGGCCTGTTTCTGATGTCTACCCCCCTCTTCTTACTTAAAGTGTTCCGGACAAAAAACTTGGCCAATTTGACATCAAACACTTTTGCACTCGAAACCAACGCAAAATTGGCCCGTGGCCGAAGCGAAAATAGCCGTTGGGCAGCGCACAAGAACTCACATGTCTTTGGCATAAACAAGTTTAATGCTAATACGGGCCACTCTTCGTATTAAAAACGAATTGAGAAGAGGAGGGGGAAAACAAAAAAGGTTATGTCCAATTTGGTAAGGGAAGGGGAACAATATACAAAACTCGAACAAAATAAAAAAAATTTTTTTTACAGTTGTAAAGAAAGTTCTTGCCGTTTTTAACTTTGTAAAGAAAGTTCTTGCCGGTTTTGTTTTGTAAAGAAAGTTCTTGCCATTTTTCGTTTTGTAAAGAAAGTTCTTACAATTTTCAGTTTCGTAAAGTTTTTGCCATTTTTTAATTTGTAAAGAAAGTTCTTGCCATTTTTCGTTTTGTAAACAAAGTTTTTGCCATTTTTTGTTTTGTAAACAAAGTTTCTTCATTTCCTATATCAAAACAAACATAATTAGCTCAGCGCAGTCTGCTGGTGACAAGTTATACGATGAATCAACTTTTTTGATTTGAAAAGAAAATTTTTGCCATTTTTCATTTTCTAAACAAAGTTATGCCATTTTACCTTTCGTAAAGAAAACTTTTGCCATTTCTTGTTTTGTAAAGAAAGTTCTTGCCGTTTTCATTTTGTAAAGAAAGTTCTTGCAATTTCATAAATTGTAAAGAAAGTTATTGTCATTTTCCTCTCACCCCCCCCCCTTCCCCTAGTACAAAAAAACGCCATGCCCTAGGTACACCGTCCTTAGCTTTACCCTGCCCTACACCATCCTACCCTACCCTAACTTAACTTTTGCTTTAATACTTACACCACTTCCCCCCCCCCTTCCTCCCTTTTCCCCCATTCCAAGACAACTTGCCATGCCCTGAATTTACAGTCCTTAGATCTAAACTACAATATTCTACCCTACTCTATCTTAATTTGCTTTAATACTCCTCCCCCCCCCCCTTCAAAAGATCCCAATCCCCATGAAATTATGATTTAATTGTGCCAAGTGGACTATGGGCCGAATTGTCGCCGCAGGCATTAAACAGCGGCCCCAAACAATTCCCATTTTCGCACATAAAAGGCCTTTGAATGACATAGCGTGCGCAGAGGAAAATATGATATTTCAGCCGGCTTCCAGCAACGTTTGGGCAAAAGATCAACTTGTTATTGACAAGGGGTTATGATGAAGTTTGACACTCTATTTTTAACAAAAAGTTATGATATTTTTAAAAATTTTAAAGTTGTAAAGAAAGTTCTTGCCATTTTTTAGATTGTAAAGAAAGTTCTTACTATTTTAAAATTTGTAAAGAAAGTTCTTGCCGTTTTTTGATCTGTAAAGAAAGTTTTTGCCATTTTATCTTTTGTAAACAAAGTTCTTGCTATTTTTCCGTTTGTAAAAAAAGTTTTTGCCATTTTATCTTTTGTAAGCAAAGTTCTTGCCATATTTTCTTCTGTAGAGAAAGTTTTTGCCATATTTTGTCCTGTAAACAAAGTTCCTGCCAATTTTTCTCAATAAAACCCCCAATTTTTAACCAAAACCTTCCATATCGAATTAAATATTTTCTGTTTTCCCATAAGCCCGCAGGGCTTTTGGATACATTACAAAGCCTTGCAAATGAAAAAAATAAAAAAGATTTTATGCAAATTAGAATTTTCGCTTTTTTTTCTTTTTCTGATGGATTAAATGGAACAAAAAAGGTGTTTAATCTACTATTATATTCATCAAGTGCTTAGTAATTAGCACTAGACAAGTTATATGATTAAACCAAAGGGTTCGTCAGGGGGAAAGAAGTGAAAAAAAGGTAGATCACCCCTTCCCCTCCCTCACCCACCGCTCTCCAAAAAAAATTTTGTAGCGAATATCTCCGGATTTTTACTTAACTTAAAAACCTATTAGGTAGGAGTACAAATACAAGCAAGGGTACAGGTAGGCAGGGCCGGGCAGGGGACTTTTGGTCCGGGGGAGGGGGGGGGGGATCCAAAAAAATCCACAAGGGGGACCAAGATAAATTGTTTCTGGGGAAGGAGTTTCCCCTCCTCCGTCCACCCCCCCGCGCCCAGCCCTACGTACGACTACAACAAGGGTACACCAAGGTAAAGACAGGGGTAAGGGCGAGGTAGTAATAGCCATCAATGAAGTCGAACCAAAAGTAACGGGACACTTTTCATTTGTTGTTTCACTGAAAAGTGTCCCGCTACTTTTGGTTCAACCTCATATATGGCTATCACTACCTCGCCCTTACTGAACAAAACAAAGATTACTCAAAAAAAGCCATTTTTTCCTTTTGCAAATTTAAAAAAAAAACTAAAAACCTTCCAAGATATCTTGTTCCAGGCCTACTTTTATCTAAAAATATGTTCTTTGTCCTAAAAACAAGGTAAACAACTTCATGCCAAATAATGTTTGACCCTCTCTTTCCGCAATAAAAGTACAAAAAACAAAAGTTTACATCCGCTCTTGCCTTCGTAAACAAAAAAAAATTTTTTTTAAATATCCGCCCCCAAAAAACATTTTACCCCGCCCAAAAAAAAACATTTTTTTGTCATGCTCTGCTAAAAAATAACTCATCTTCGCCCCACCAAAAAAATATTTTTTTTCTTCCCCCCCCCCTACTTCCATGTTAAACATACTTTTACCCCTCCCCACCCCCTCAAAAATTAATTTTTATCCCCTCATCAAAAAAACCAGCCAAAAAATAGACCTAATATCAACCTCCACATTATGTTCCCCACCCCCTCCCCCAACCCAAAAAACCCACTCCCAAATCAAAAAATTGACAAGCAAAATCCCCCCTCCAGCCCGCCAAGCAGTCATAGCCTTTGATACGATTATGGAAAACATGCCAAAATTAGAAAGAACATACGAAGAAGAACTTGTGACCACAAGGGGATTAGCGTTTTGACGTTTCCAACGGCGATTCCACTCCCCCCACTCCCGTCCGAAGGCTTAACCTTGACAATGATATAGTCGGAGCCATAAATACACCGCTATGTTCGTGGAAAGTAAAACGTTTGGTGAAAAAACGAGGTAAATAGACTATCTATACCCTACCCTAACCTGCTCTACCCTACCCTACCCTACGCTACCGTACCGTACCGTACCCTACCCAACCCTACCCTACCCTATTCTACCATACTCTTCTCTACCCTGCCATAAATTACCATACCCAACTTTATCCCCATTCCATCCTAGCCATACCTAAGCTCTATCCACGCCCTACAACAGTCCTATTAAATTTAAAAAAGTTTTAAAACAAGCAAAGCTATTACTTTATGTCCGGCCCGAAACCCACGCCTTCAAATTTTCAAAACAACTGTCACAATAATTCAACAGTTATTATAGGTTTTACTATGGTAAAAACATTAACATAAAAATGAAAAAGTGAGAGAAAGCGTAATGACTAGTATCGAAATAATGGCTACTATACATAACATAATATCCATATACAGCTGCAATCACTTTTTTACCGTTAGAAGTAATATTTGGTAAAAACTTTCTTTACAAGACGCAAAATGTCATAAATTTTGTTTTTATTACAGGTAATGACAAACACTTTGACTAAAGAACACAAAACAGTATACGTCGAATAACTTGTCACCTGCAGGCTGCACCAGGCTAATTTTGCCCGCTTTAAACATAAAATGCGATAACTTTCTTTACAGAACATAAAATGGTAAAAACTTCCTTTACAAGCCAAAAAATTGCAAGAACTTTCTTTACAGAACATAAAATGGTAAAAAATTTCTTTCCAAAACAAAAATTCCAAAAACTTTCTTTACAAGCCAAAAAATGGCA